GGCATTCTATTTATTAGGTCTTCCACTGTGATGTTGAATTTTAATGCTCGACTGAGCAGGGCTCTGTCTAAATCAAATCTTAACGAATTATCCTTCACCATGGGGGCAGTGCTTGCTGGAGAAGTTATGGTGTTAATGTTTCCTTTTTTTTTGCAAACACCTATGAGGTATTAAAAATTGAGGACATTAGGAAACTATAAATACTGTCATAAATTTGTTCAAATTGCTGTAATTTTTTGTCGTTATTGCTACTTGCCTTATGTGTTTTTAGAAGAATATTATTCTTCAAAGTATAGAATGAAAAGCAAATTAAGCGACATCACAAGAATTTCGGAAACCACGAGCTTATATATTCAACATATCACTTTACTATGCTGTCTATTGCTTTGGTGGTTAATTGAATAAAGTGCCAGATTATAACTGTTATATTCAAGTATGAGCGGCTACATGGTTTTTTCCCCAGCTAAATAGCATGCATAATTGCTGGTGTAATGTTGATCAAGATTCATATGTCAGCTGAAACAGTACATTGCTCCGTTGTATTGTAGCACACATTTCCATTGACATTCCACTATTTCATCAGGGCTGGTTAATGTGAAAAAAGATTGCAACATTCCCACTGTCTATGGCACACCAAAGTAATTTAGTTCCTATGTTTGTTCTGATTATGAGCCAAGCTTTATGTATGCTACGCCTATTTTGTTCTTACTAAAGATGCATAGTAATAGAAATGCTGTTGTGTTTTTTCAATTAAACTGTGTGAAGGGTTTTTTTTACATTCAGCTGTAATTTTGGCAGTGGAATCAATTCAAAGCCATGTTTTTTGTGTTTGAAGATTTGCATGTGGAAGCTATGCAGTCTGACATAATGAACTGTCTTACTTGACTAGTTGCTTACAAAGCTGTAAAAACAATTTGCCTCTAAACCACTTTTGTCAAGCTGCTGTTTGGTCATCTGGCATGCAGAATCTATGAAGTGCCCTTGGTGCAAGGCCAGCAATACACAGCACTACATTATACTTTGTGTGTAATTGTCAATGTGTGCTGCATGTGTCACTTTTGTTTGTTTAATATTCTCAATACACTCAAACCTGGATATAATGGAGTGGACTATAATGAATTATGGGTTATAACAAAATAAGTCACCAATAGCCTTGCCATAGATACAGTGCTACAGATAATTGTTTATAATGGATTGTCTAATGTAACAAAGTATTTTTGTGGCAGATGTATGTTTCTTTCAATCAGGTTTGAGTGTAGTTGCTGAAGTGTTCTTCAAGGAAGTCTGGCCTAATCAAATTTGTGTAGATGTTTCTGCCAAAGTATGTCTGTAGCGGCACATCTGACAGCTTTGTAATAGATCTTTGTAAGGTCGTTTTTTACCTATTCATTAGTTGATTTCATAGGGGTCTGGTCTTCAGCTTGTTGGTGCAATTTAATTACTGGGTACAGCATGAAAAAAATATGATACGAAAAGAGACATGACAACCATAAAATACCGATGAAGTGCCCCCCCCCCCCTCAACGCAGGGATAATATAGTAATGTTAAGGAGGGGGCTCTTGCTGGGAGCTGCCCTGAAATCAAAGATGGTAGCCGAACGCCCCCTTCTGCAGAAATTAAATGCAACGCATTGAAACCAAAAAGCTTTATCAGCGGCAATCATTCTCATTAAATCACTCTCAAAACCATCAAATGATTCTTTGGATTTAGAGCCGAAAACTAAGTCTAGGCATTCGTAATGCTAGTCATCAGGATGCTCGGGTGCCACGGCGCCGATGTCGGGCAGGCAGTCATGCAGCTCGTCATCCCCGAAGCTGTTGAGTGTGTTGTAAATTCCGCACCCCTTAAACGAGCGCACGACTATCTCTGCAGCCACAGCGGCTCAAGCCTCAGACACAAAGTTAAGGGCGTCCTGTCGTGGTGGCTTCCACAGATTGCCTTTCGGTGTTCTCTCATCTTTCCTCGTGAACATCTCCCAAGAACGCTGAAGGTTCGCCTTGAATGGCCTGTTCCAAAAGACGTCAGCTGGCTGCAGTAGGCTTGTGCAGCTCGCAGGCAGATACACAACGTCTCGGTCACGTTCCGCTATTGCGTTTTTCGCTGCCTGAGTCTTGTGGATAGGTGTCTGATTCCGCACAAGTAGCTGCCGCACATCATCGCTGTTAGGCCCCCACACTCTTGCCAGCCACTTCTGCAGTTTGTCCGACGCCATCCAATTATTTTTCGATGCCGTGACGCGAACAATGGCTAAAAAAAAAAAGTCCTGTCAACTAAGGTCGCTGTAGTTGAACACATTTTCCTAATTGTTAATTTCTCTTGTGAAAATGAAAAGAAAAATTCCCAATCCACAAACTTTGTCACTCACCTGGTATACGAAGGCTCATGAACACTTGGGTTGGTATCTTTCCACTTGGTTCCTTAAGAACGATAAAAGCTAGTAGTTTGTGGCCGCTTGTGCATGCTGCCAATGCAACCGCGAAGCCCCTGCGGACGCAGCCAGTATTGCCAATGTGCACGGTGCTCACCCCAACCAGGTTGTTTGTCCTGCTCGCCAGTGAGTCCATTTGGACCATTGTCTGTCTATATTACAAATGTTGGATGGTGTGTAGTCGTGGCGTGCTCGCAGGCTATTAACAGCAGAGCGAAATGCCTTTGCTGCCTCCGAGAAATTGTCCGGCATCTTCTGGCTCTCGTTTGTGGATGGCGCATTGTTGTGCCAAACCGCTGCTTCCCCCTCTAATATATTGTCTTGACGCAGCAAAATTTTCTAGCTGCAAGCTGTGGGATATTTTGACAGCCTCTTCTGAGAGAAGTCTATTACTAACAGAACGTGCAGTGCTCCTTTTCCGCCCGAGGAACTCGAAAAGAGTGTCGTTTACTTCCTCACTGAACACTGGGCGCTCCGTTGCTCAACTTGCGCCGAAGCTTGGCCATTCTAAAGTTATGTTGCAGTAAGCTCTCAAACTTCTTGTCCCTCTTGCGGACTCTCTTTCTGTCAATACTGAATTGGCGAGCTGTTGCGTGTACATTTCTTCTGGCCTGGCAATGCCATTGAACGACTTCATTTTTTTTAACTGTGTAAGAATGCATGTCCGAAGTCGCCGGTGTCACGTTCAGAACCTGCAAACGGTAATAATAAAATGGCAAGCGTCGCGCCAATACCAGTGACTGTGGTCAATGTGGTCAGATGACCAATTTTAGGATTGGATTTCGGATTAGGCAAGAGTGTAGTCATTGGCGCGGTTTCGGTTTCAGCAGTTCGCGGTTAGTCGGCAGAGAGTGCCGGGCTGATGTGAGGGGGGGGGGGGGGGGGGCTTGCTCAATAGAGATCGAAAATAGGAAATCTTAATGGGATATAAGGGGGGCGCTTACACGAGTGGGGGCATTTGATTGGTATTTTACGGTAAGTGCTGATGAATTTGTGGGTGGGGGGCACTTGCATATCTAGCTCATGGTGTTCATATATCCTTCACAGAAAGCATTTGGCTCTGCACGTCGTCGTATCTGAGTTCTAGTTACTTGACTACGTTATTTTTGTATTTAATGTGAAACTTATCTGATGTACATATGTTCAGTCAAACATTAAAATGAAGCCATATCTGACATGGACAACACATGGTTATGACCAAAAATCTGTTTTAAATGTATATTTGCAACACTGAATTGTTGCCAAGACTCTTCTTCAATAACTTTGGTATAGTTGATAATGCATTTTATGTGAATTTCTTATGTAGAGGTTTCAATGTATCGTATGAATGTAATTCTGTGTCATTGCACCTTTAGATCCTAACATTTCTTTTGTGACTTTAAATCCTTGATGCTTTTCGGGTGTGTGTAGTCTGGTTTCTTGTGTAGCCTGGCCCTTGCTGCCAGTCAGATGAACCAAGCGTTCACAGTCTCAAATTCCACTCAGAAAAATCAAGCAAGAGTCGTCTCAGATCACGGCATCTTTCTGCTATTACAGCCTATCATGTCCATTCCAAATGAGCTTGAGCTAATCATCATTTGAAATCTGTACAGATAGTGCCATTTTGTAATCTCATCTCAAAGCACCCGTAATTTTATCCGTCATCTAAAAGAAAATAAATACCTGATAATATATAGCAGGATTTGTTCATTGCAGGATTTGATCAGTTGATTAGATGTGAGCAGGGCAGTCATAGGATTGTTTCCTCTTAGGTCGATTTCTGTCAAATGAAAATTTAGTTGGGACATAAAATTAATTCATTCTTTTAAAGTTCTTTTGTTATGTACTCATCTCCTATGCAAACTTGCTTTCTATTGATTATTAGGACGAGTATTAAAACAAAATGCAGCAGTGTAGTTGCATCTGTAATACTAAGTCTGTGACAAAACTTCAGGAGTCAATAATTTTATGTTGAGCACCATGTTTTAATTGTACATCACTTTCAGCTGTCCCACGATATTGCTAATAGCTGAAGGTTAGTTGGATATTTGTTTTATAGAGTCATATTTTGTATTCACTGAGCTCTCAGGAAGCTTCACAGGTGACATAAAGTGCTATTACTGTGATCTATATATATATATATATATATTGCATCTTCAGAGAAATTTACGCATTTCCAGCATTATATTATGTTCTGTTATATTTTTTAAGGCACATTAACTGAAAGCCACATAGCCGAGATTCTTAATAGCACTCTTGTGAGAGCGATCTTGTCATCACAATATGCAATTTTGCATTTCGTATATGTTGGTGCTGTTGCCTCTTTATGTCGCATGCGTTTGTGCCATCGGCTATTGATGTGAACTTTTAGCTTGTACGAATGCTTTTTAACATTACCCTGTTACCAGAATGCTGAACTGCGTTTACTAGAAACTGGAACACGTGTTGTTCAAAACTTTAGCTCTTCATACATAAAAGTTTGCGTATGTACATAAAGGAATCGTGATGATAACTGCATTTAAACTGTATTTAACTTACAGAAGACTGAATCGCTACTGCGGCAAAATCAAAGAGTTTTTTTGATTGCGCACATTATCTTCGTATGCAGGAAAAAAGGGTGATGAAATACAAGGGTACAGCAATGATGGTGACAGCATCTTTGGACACTTTCTGCACATGCAGTCATGAACAACTTTATTAATGCCTAATGTTTTTGAGGTGAAAATGATTTAAAAGGTGACTCATTTGTAATGATGTCGCTACAAGGTTTTCACACCAGATGTAGAATGCACGATGCTTCTGCAAAAACAGTTTTGTGATTGTCTGGTTAATTTTGGCCCTGGTAGATGGCGCTGCCTATCCATCCCGTCGGGGGCTCACACGTTCAGTCCTTCGATGTTCTAGGCCCCTCTAGCTTTGGTAATCCAGCTGGAACAACGTTATCGTTATAAGCACTCGCACTTCCACTTACTTTGACTCAGCGGCTCGACTCTCTGCAATGCGGGTAAGCTAGCATGAGTTCCTACGAACGAAAGTGGATTGGTAAGATAGGGCCACAAACATAGAGCCTACCTGGCGGCTAGTTTATGTTACATAATGGTTTACGTTTCGTAAAGACCCTCGCATGCGCAGTTTCTATTCGTTGTCCGATAACATGGTTACGAAAAGAAGTGTACGTACAAGCTAAAAGGCCATAAGTGTACGTACAAGCTAAAAAGCCCTAATAACCGTGTCATGGTGCATTCAGACAGTGGGCTCATTATTAATCATTGTGCATCGCAAATGTTTTGTTTCAGATAATTCAGTTTTCAGTAGAAATTTGGGCCATTTCGAATGCTGACCATATCAGTGTATACTTGCATTTTGCTTTGCAGTTTAACATGTGGCACTTGTTTGGAACGGTGGACCGATTTCACAAAAGTGAATGAAGTAAAAACTTTTTAAACTACTATTTTTATATGTTGCATTGGCATTGGTCTCCAAAAGATACTCGAACGTGTTTACAATGTCGGATTCAGAATTTTTCCATGTGTCCCACTTTTGTGCTGTTTTAAAGGTGGCATCTGCTGGTGCTTTATCTAATATCTTGGCCTATGTTGTGTATTTTTGCCTACACACATGGATTCTTGTCATATCAGTTACTGTTTTTCTTATATTTTATCACTTTAAATTGATGGTACTCTTATGAAGGGCAAGATATTGATGACCATACACTTTTTGAAAGGTATGCTATCCTATTCACAATCATGTGAGACAGGAGCTTCTAGTCATAGAAGGTGCCACAGGGACCACTTGACACTGAATTGCTGAGTAGAGCAATACTTGTCAGGTAATAGTGGCTTTACATATTGTTGGAGGGCTGTTGAGAGGAATAAGTGGATAAGGTGCATTACGTTGGTATGTGACTTGTATAAACCTAGCACCTTTTATGAACCTGTCCCTGAGCAGCACTGTCCTCTGATTCATACATAGCAGGCAATACTATGAAAGCTAAAGTGCATTGGTTACCAAAAATATGTGTATCAAGTGTAACACATGGTACTCAGTTTATGTGACTTAGTTTAACAGTGACTTTACATGCTATTATTATGTAAAGAAAGTTTGTACTGCTCAGATATTCCTCACTTGATTGTATTATGGAATGATTCATACAGCCAACTAATACATGACCAAATGTCTTGCACGACTTGCATTGTATGCTGGACACGTGCCAGCAATACATGCACTGCATACTGGTATCCCAAGGATGATGAATGACCTGGCATTTGACATTGTATATCAGTTAAGTTTATTCAGATATCTGTGTGACGTGGTACTGTTGGTGTGAAGAGAAAGTTGTGCTTGTCTGTAGGGATTCATATTGAAAGAAGGTAGGGCATGCAGACACATGCAGGAAAAAGAGAGCCGGATTCAGGTGCAGTTTTCGTTTTGTCTGTGAATGCATACTTTACGTTCATTTATGGTGATATCCGTAAGAAATGTCATAGATCTGAAAGGCCATGCACTATGTATGGAAAACGTCAATACCTATGAATGGCCGTAGTTGTGGAGCAACTGTAGTGTTCTTTGCTATGTATTTAATAGAGCTCATTTATTGCTGAATGAGTGGGCCTTGGTACTGGTCAGTGGATATATGGTAACTGCCTGAAAGAGCTTCTCTGCAGCAACACTGTGCTCTTGATGTATTTTATGGCCTCATGCCAGAAGTCTGTAGGAGGTGTGGTATCAACACTTTCGCGGTTAATCGCTTTTCCTTCTTCGATTGTTTCTCTTGAACGCACCTGTCAATGTTGTAGTGTAGAGATGAATTTGTTTGCTGTTGTATGTTTGTCTTCCTGCCTTCCATAGTTTCCTCATGCATTCACAGATTACTCGGCTTGCTACGAGAACTCGCTCGTGTTATAGTGGGGTTTTATTTTGTGTGCTGTGTTTCTGGCATATGCAGATTCAGGTCAATACAAATGCCTTAATCGCAATGCCGTGATGGCTGTTCAACTGTGCAACCTTTTATTCCAGTGCCTGCATGGACGAACGCATTTCCCCCGAGTTCCCTGAACAGAGAGCATATCTAATATTATTATCGAAATGATGTTATTTATACCATTGTTTTTTTTTTGAAGTGTGGTTACATAAATCTCTAGTTCTTGCCATTATCTATTGTTTTTATTCTGAGAGAAATAAACTTATTTTGAGCGGACCATGTGCTTTCGCTTCATAGTGTACCATTTTTGCGATTGGGCACCCAACTGTACATCTCCTACAAGAAGGTTAGCTGGAGATGCGATGTATAGAACCTTTTTTCCTGTGCTGCTCAGAGGACCAAAGCTTGTGCTCAAGCGCAAGACAGGAAGAAGTCCTAGCGTTGGTCTTGCCTGCTTATTTTGATCACACAGAGATACTGCCATTCCCTCAGATTTTCAAGTCGAGGGCTTCGTCATTTCTGCAGGTTTCCTTGCTCAGTTTGTTTAGGTGCTTCTAGAAACTACCACAAGTTATCAAATGCGAAGCATTCTTTAGCGAACTACATGCTCTTTCAGCATTTCTGTCTGTCTGTCTGTCTGTCTGTCTGTCTGTCTGTCTGTCTGTCTGTCTGTCTGTCCGTCTGTCTGTCTTTCGAGTCGCTTACGTTTGGGTGCTCTCGTGATCACCCTCTTGGCATGAACCAAAATTACCATATGGGATGGCAAGATAGTTTGACGAATATGACACGCTGGTCAAGACATGAGTAATGTCACAACTCTTCGCGTGTTGTCAAACACTTCCGGCTAAGCAGTGGCACACACTCAAGGGCGGGTATGTGCTGCTGGTATGTGCCACAGGTGATTGACACTTAGTAGCACCCGAGGAACAATGAGAGCACGCATGGTAATAACGCGTGAGCGTTAAATACCCGACATCGAATCAAAGCATTCTGCGTGGCAATGAAGCTTTCTACCACAGAGCTATGCCAGGTCTCGGAACTACTTTTCAAGTAGACACTAATCTTCGTGAAACGTTAATAGTGGTTGAATTGCTGCCTACCACTTTTATAAACATTACATATGTACACCTTTGATAGAGCCGACACGTTGGGCTGACGTAAATTGTGGTTAGGTGTCATGCGCTGAAGTTGATTTATGTAGCAGTGTCCAGGGTCAGCATCCTCACAAGCATAAGCACTTCATATCAGCTTCTGTTGTTGCTAATACACATGTTCCAGTTGGAATCGGTGTGCAAGTGCGAACAACTGGTTATATAACACCAGCAATACATATTTAGCGTTATTTCATGTGTTGCTTCATAAAACAAATTGCAACATGGTCACATTCTCTTCACATGCTTCGCATAACATCAATTCCCAGGTACGTGGGAACTGCACATTTTTTTAGTCTCATAAACATTGCATACGTATTCCTGTGCTTCCTTAAGCTATATTTAAAATGGTTGCTCGGCACTGGAGGAATACGCAAAGGAAAGCTACGTGCTCACAGTTACGCGAGACCATAAGTTACCCTTGAACGCCAGCCAGTATGGTCGACGTTCGGAATGATGTGGAGTGGATACAACTACTGCACGTAACACACGGTCAGTCGGTCTTGTTACGCTTGGCTCAAAGCACAGACGTCAACCTGTGGTAGGATGTATGACTGCCGTACAAAATATCTGGATTTTAATTCTAGCTCGAGCCATGCTTTTAGTTCCTCGCTTCTACCGCGATTTTTCATCCCTCGACAACGCCGCCGCCTACAACAACACATTTTCCGTGACTGGGCCCGTTCGCGCTCTCGTGTTAAGCTTCGATTTCTGAAGTTTGGGCTTATAGAGGCGAAAATGTTGTAGGCCCGTGTGCTCAGATTTGGGTGCACGTTAAAGAACCCCAGGTGGTCGAAATTTCTGGAGCCCTCCACTACGGCGTCTCTCATAATCATGTGGTGGTTTTGGGGCGTTAAACCCCACATATCGAAGTCTAGGCTTGATTATACGAACAGTGAATCACTTGTAGTGCATGCACTCGTATACATGCGATATGCGCCACGTGTGACGGGTGGAAAGTTTCATGACGTATGCGACATGTAAATCGCGTTACTCATGACACGACCTGCGAATGGTATTTCTTGTACGCTCATGTTTATATGCGTTTTTTTATCTACCAAGTCAAGGAGTTTACTACTGGAGCGCCAAGACGTATACAGGCGAATGCAAAGAAGTAGCCAAGTGCCTTAGGATCGCTAAAATATGCTTTGCAGATTGAAAATAATAACAATGCGCTCGACCTTATATCAAAGCAAAATGACTCCGTAAACGCAGCTGCTAGGATGCTTTCGGAGAAAAAAGTGCACCAGAAGTTACGTTTATCGTATACTACTATGATATATGCAACAACGCAATGAACAAACTTGCGAATTACCATCTCATGAATTATCAGTGACTTCAGAATCACGGTTCATTGTTTGCTGCAGTTGGTGACGTTAAAATGCACACACGTATTGAAAAAATTACAAATAGCGTCCCGCCTGCGTCATTATACCACGAGACACTCTGGTTCAATTTACTGTATCTGGCCCACGCAGAATGGCATCCAAAGGCACGGGTATAACCGTCCTCGTGCATGGCGAGGTTGCACCAATTTTCGCCATCGACGCGATAGCAGAACCGGCTGCAGTAGCTGACGTAGAAGGTCTGCCTACCCGTCAGCATCTCCAAGGACTGCAGTTGCAAGAACGCCTTGTCACTGCCGACTCCGTTTTCCAGTGCTTTGACGGTGAGCTTGAGGGCGAACAGTTCCTCAATGAAACGCTTCTCGTGCACCGAGCTCGATTCGTCCCAACGGCAACTTTTGAGGGGCGACCACCAGAAGCTCTCGGAGAGGTTCTCGTCAATGCCTCGGCCGTGGCCTACGATAGCCTTGACGATGCTGCTGGCCATTTGAAAACCCAGTCCGCTGTACGACATGGAGGGCGAGCCGTGAATGTAGAACGACGGTGGGTAGAAGGCGAACATCCTGACCTGCTGAAAATTGATGGTGTGGAGATAGTGAATGTTTCGGGTTTGCCAAGCGAAACGCGCTGTCATCACTGGGTGAGTACTGCCCGACTTGAGCAGCGTTGCGAGCGCCTTTCGGGTGTGGAGCCAAGCGTCGAAGAAGCTCGCAGAACTGTTGGGGAAGCTCGTGTACAGCCAGTCCAGAAGTCGCCTGTTGGACACCCTCACGGCGCACCGTTCTTTGCACGCGCTCGAAATTTTCGCCACCGCTATCGCCTTAGTCGTTTCGGTGATGACGTCTGATTTCTGGACCAGCCGCACGAACGTGTCGATGGTGTTCTGCATCAATTTCGAGGTCACCTGGATGTCGCCGTGTTCGAAGCGCTTGACGAAGTTGTGTAGTATCTGCAGCAGGCCGAATGATTCGTGGACGGCGAGAAAACAGAGCGTCTCGTTGAACAAGTAGTTGGATTCGTTGTTTTTGTTTGGCTGAAGGTGATCGAAGGCGGGGTTTACCACCCAAGCGTAAGTGTACGCAAACATCCACCCAATCACGTTGAGACTCCTTGCCGGGGAAAGTAAGGTGAGAGCTTCCGATAATGCGTTCAAGCGCTGCTCGTCGTAGACGAGCACCTTCGTTTCCAAAGTCAACGACTCGTCGTTCAGGTGACGTTTGAGGAGCGTCAACCAGGACGGTGTGTTCACGCTGGGAGACATCTCGTCGATGTACTTCACTGTGACGAGCACGTCGTTGTCTCGTTCGTCGCTGCACGCGGCCAGGTGCGACGTCAGCGTCATTTCGTCGTGACGCAGGGCGTCGATCTTCTCTTTGGACATGTCCGCTTCGCTGCTGCCGAGGAATTTCGCAGTCGTTTTGATGAGATGCTCGGTGTCTTCCTCGATCTCGAATACGGAAGCAACCTGCTGCCTTCGCAATTTGATCAAGGGTCCGGGTTCCTGGAACACGAGGCTGGCTGTGTCGAACTTCCTCGTGCTTCTCCTCAAGTCGAAGAGCAGGGCAACCCTCCAGTTGAGCACCAGATCTAGAAGAACGTCCAGCATGTCGACGTTCTCCGGCGGGTCGTTCGGCCACGGTATCCGTCGGGCCTCCATAAACTCCGCGAAATGAATCGCTTGTGCCTCGATCTGCATAGTTTGAGAACATTTCAACGGGTATTGATCAACGCTTTTAAATCTCTTCTTTTTTGCTGATTGTCATCTTGCAAATGAGATACTGCGATGAGTGGGCTTTTGACGACTTCAGAAGTATTGGTTAGAAAATCCTTAATGAGCACGCTTCGCTGTCACTCTTGTCTTAGATTACTTGGCATTATCTGACACACGCACAACTTTCTTGGCACACATCCAGCGAGAATATAACCGGGCTGACCACAACAATATGTACCCAGCTGGTACGTGCCGCGTGTCCATGTATCTCAGTAAATCCTGAATACGTGCAGCGACAAACATTGAGCTTGTTTGAATATCAAAGTTACTGGTCTGGTGAATTTCAGTCTAGGAGAAAAAAAGACGAGCAGTGTTTGACCGATAAATCCTACAGCAAAAAGCTTTCTATGGCGCATGTATTGAAGGCAGTGGGTCAGTACAAACATCAAGACAAAAATAAATAGGATGCCGAATGAGCAGACATGTATATGTAAATGGTCAACGAACAGCAAGACTCGAAGTTCCGTCCCCAAAACTTATTCACCAATCCTAAACAAACATACTCGTTCTGATTGGCCAGCGTTGGCACCCCTAATTAAAAGTGCATTTAGTAAATCGATATTGGTCAAACTGAAAAATTGGCCCATATTGCTTTAGTCCTTACAGTCGGTGCCAAATTTGAAAACAGTATGACCTCTGCTACAGGCAGCTTGACGGCTACGTCATCGTTGGCGTCACAACCTTTGGAGATACACAGCTCCGGTATAGCGATACGTATTTACTGTTTCTCTCTTAACAAAAGCAACGATTGCACACTATCACCACTTCAGTAAACACTTGCCGACTGCAACGTCTGTAGCTCATGACATGCGGTTCACAAAATTGCTATGTGGCGCCGGACCTGGCTGGTGCTTGATTCCAAACGTGGCGTTTGGCGTGGTTACTTCTCCTTGAAAGGGCCTCACTGCGACCAGGAAGGACAACCACAAAGAGAAGAGGGTGCACGATCGAGAGAACACTGAGACAAGATCAAAGGCCGCTTATTTCGAAATGAACTGGCAGTGCGGCTGCACGAGACGCTTGCGGCGTTGAACAAGCCTGTGGGCTTTGACAAGGGCGGTGGAGCCTTCCCGGGACCTGCCCCTAATATCCTGTCTCTCGGTTTTGTTATCACAGCCCGACTCCGTGCACGAGGCCTTCGCCTATCGTAGCTGCGCCTGCGCGTGCAACATTCATCTGCAACAATGTCGTGCTCCTCGATAGTTTGTCGTCATGATTGGTAGTGTCTCGCGTGTGTCAGCCATCTAGAATGAGAGGTTGAACGTGAAGCTTTCTAATGATGATGCGCGGAGAACAGAATACTTTTTGGCCTTCCGAAACACGTCTCATCGAGTTGCTCGTCACTGAACACGTAACTTTTGTCTTGTTGTTTTGTGTATGACGACGTAAATAAGTAATTATTGTGGAATTGCCTTGAAACCCAAGTATCTTTATTTAGCCAACTTCCGCACTTCAATTTTACTCAAGTCAAAGTCTCAGACGCGCAATGAAATGGAGTCCAGTTTCAGTGGAACCGCGGTGCCGCAACAGCACAAAGTGGCACATGGCTGCTCCAGTATTATTTAATAAAGGTGGTGGAACATCGCTGCCCGCTAATTCTCTAGAACGCAGGTCATTCTGCACGATTCGAGAGTGCCCAATACGAATAAGTACACATGGCGCGCACGATCTAAGCGTTCTTTGCTGTCGACAGATGTGACTATAATGAATAGTCACGATGGAATAATGGCACGGCACGTGTACCTCGGAAGACTGGGAAGTTCTCTGCAGGCACGTCGTGTACGCGGACAGGGCCTTCGTGTTGGCGTGCGACTCCTGGTGGTTGCAGTTGCCGGCCGTGCGGTACTTCTGCGAGTCGTAGGCCATGATCTCGCTGTAGATACGCGCAGACCGCCTCTCCTCGTCCAGCCGCGTTGCCCTGGGGCCGCCGCCGCAGACGAAGGCGTGCAGGCTGTGGCACGGATCGGCCGCGGTGTTCATGTGGGCGCGCAGCTCGCTGGCGTGCATCATGCAGTCGTCGGTGCCGCACACGTCGACGGTGCGTCGTGCCACGATGGCGGCCTTGATGTCGCGCAAGAAGAACAACACCACGAAGCTGGTGAGCACCACCAGCGAGAGCAGCACGGCGCTGTAGAAGAAGACGCATGAGGAGTGCTTGCGGCTGTGGTAGATCAGGGAGGAGATACGGTGAGAATGATCCTGCGGGTGAAAAACGGGAAACACATGGTCGGAACGTACGTGAGGTGCCATGAATTCCATAAGTGCACTCTGTGGACTACAGAGCCCAACAGGGAGATGGGGACAGGAGTGGAGGTCTCCCTTCTGTCTCGAGCTATATAAGGACTTACGCCACGCAGGGAACACATGACAAGTGGTGAACTGTAGAACAGCCGAGTCAGTAGTGCAGCTCAGTACTGCGGGTGGGTGAGTTTCTGCGGGCATATAGGTCACTGTTCTAGGGACAGTGGGATTGGGCGTGTTGGTATAACATCATAAAGGGTGCTTACCAGCGCAAACGACAGGGCAGAAGGGGACAGGAGAAGAGACGCTCTGTTGTTATTGTCAGCGCTCTGTCTCGTCTCTTCTCCTGTTCCCTCAAGTATTCTCAAGTCCCGCCCTCAAGTATCGTCATTCCCCTCAAGTCCCTCCAAGTATTCTACCACTGAGCGACGCCGGTTCTTGAGCCTCGTTGGCAAATTCAGCTTAGGCAGGCTTGACGTTGGGAAAGAAATCGCGTTAATGCGTCTTAGAAAGTGTTTTAAAGCAGCCGGGTGTCTCACACCCGGGTGTCTCACACCCGGAACAACCGGGTGTCTCACAACGCGAATAGCATAACGAATGGGTCGTCTATTGCTCCAACCCAATACAAAAGCTTGTTCTTGTTCACCTAACAACAGGGGCGCATACCTACGTACTTCAGGCATAATTCCTAATCGACGTCAGCCACTGCGTGAACAATTGACACAAAAGTATTTGCAAGTGTTTAGCGGATACCATGCTTCTCAGAAGAATGACGAAAAATAGCGCAGGGAATGCCTGCCTGCAAGACAAAAGTTTTTTAAATAATGCCGCAATGGGTATCAAGAAACTGTGCTTGCAGCAGGTCGCCAATGAGTGTTGAGAGAAGGCTCTGAAAGGCTGTTCTAGCTTCCGCTGTGACTCTGCTGCGCCTTCCACGCAGGCCTGGCATTTTGTTTATGGAAAATTTTGTTGTCAGTAATGCATATGGTGTCTAGTTGCTCCTGCGTTGATATTGAAGCGCCGGGTATTTTTAGTACTAATAATCAGTTGAGTATAGCCTTGCATAGGAGAGCAATGACATCATAGAATTAAAGTATCGTTCACGCATAGGAGCCGAGTTGACATGATCATCACCCGAAATGCCAAAGGTATGGCCTGGTTTTTTATGAAATTTCATAATGCATCTGATAGAACATATAATGCAATTGCGCAAAGAAATTGAATTAAAGTTTATTATCGAGTTTTAGTCATGATATAGCTACTAATATTTCTGACTTTATACATAGTACGCCGGGAAGCTGGCAAACTTTACAAACACGTTACGCGGATTATAATGAAATAATCAGAAGCAAGGCCTCCTAGAAAAATTATGCCTGGAACGTGAGCCGCGAACGTGCCGCCCTACCCTCGGATTTTACCCTCTCCCTTCGGTACAAAGGCGAACGCCTTTGGCGGTGGCCCCCTGCGAACACAGCAATGCTCTCACAGTTGCCTCCCAGCAGCTGTGATGTCACGTGACAGAGCGGTACGGTAATGTCACCTGACAGAGTGGTAGTAAGGCGAGTGGTCCCACGCGTCGGATGGTCACAACACGCAGCAGGAGGCATGGCCTCCGGCACTTTGTGATGGCAGGAAGCTCTCAATTGAAAAGAGAGCCACGTTCCAGGCATAGTTTTTCTAGAAGGCGTTGTCAGAATATATATTCTCGCACAAAACTTTTGCATAGCGTTGTACCGAGAAAGCAGTGAAACTTAAATCGGAGGCTGCCAATTGAGCACCTTATCCCACCGGCTCACCCACCTTAATTTCTTTTTGACCTTCCACATCAGTTCAGAACAACAAATAACACCACTTCGTCTTGTCTCGAATGTGTTATCTCGAAGCATTACATGGCTGTGCAAGAAAAATGGCCAGGTGATAGTGCTTTTTCGTTCCTGCCTTTTTTAAGACACAAGTGCAGATTTAGTTGTATATTTGTAACGGTCATCCAATCGGTGACCGTTCCCTGTATACTGCTTATTATGCAGAGATGAATCTTGATGAGCATAGGATCAGTATAGAGTATACGAGTGATATGTTCTAAATAAGGAAAAGGAGGATTGAAAGAGGAAGGACAGGGAGGTTAGCCAGTTCTCAGACCGGCTGGCTACCCTGTTGCTCTAAATTGTGACGCCGCGCTCCGTACCATCCTGCAGGAAATGGCATGGCTGAAAGAATCATTCGGGATCTGAAGCAGTTCATTTCAATGTATCCAGGTTTTCAGGCTGGATGGAAGTGCTGCTTGGAGGCAGCTGTCGCTCATCACAATCGGTCGCACACTGCGAGCATCGGCTGTAGCCCATATTTTGCAGCTTTCGGAAAGGTACCAGTGCTTCCTGCTGATCAAGAACTTTGCGTTGCAGACCGCCGCAACTGTGCGAAAAAACGAAAAAACTTCCGAAGCCTACCAGTGATACCGGGAAAGTATGAATAGGAACTTTGACCGTCGCCACAACACGCGGATACCTCAGATACAACTGAACGATCTGCTGCTTGTCACAAAAGGCCTTCCCGGCACAAGGCAGGTGTACATGTGACCTTATCGCGTGATATGAGGATATGCTCTAAATAATAATGCCAAACATGACTTGAGGTGAACGTGGGGGCGGGCACCTCCGTCAGGCTCTAAGCCTTTAGTCCTCGCAGCCCTCTGGACCCGTCAAGAAAATGAAGCGACCGAATGGAGTGGAATGAATTAAGTGCATTTCATGTCCAACGAATTTGCTTACGATGGACCTCCTGGACCTGGAGAGCCGTGAGAACCTGAAGGCACTGTCCACGTGGGCCGAGGGTTGGCTCTCGGGGCGCTTCGGTAGTTCGAACGGAGGAGTTGAGTCGAGCGCAGTCCACAGCGTCTCGTCGCCTTCGGACACGGATGGGTCCACTCTGGCCGTCCGTTGCTGGTCGTAGTTCGCCAGGGTCCTTTAAAAGGTACAGCTGCGAGGTCTGCAGGATGGCGGCCGACGCGTTTCTTCTTCTGCTTCTTGCTCGCGAGCGCATGCGCTAATCTTCATCTTCTACTCGTCAGGTGGCACGCGCGCCTGCTCCAGCCCGGCGTTGTGGATTGAAGAAAGCGCTAATTATTCAAAAAAGTTAGGGCATTCTAAATGTTCTTCTTTAGGAGTTGAACGATACACTTCTTTGCGAACGATTCCGTTCATACTTGGAAATACAACTTGCTGCACGAGCTGAAGGAAAATGAGAAGGAAGACAGTATACATAACGCCTGGTCGGAGATGACTCCGCGTTCCAGGCGTTACGTATCCTGCGTAGAGCGTACCCGAGTGCCCTGAAGCACCACGCTGTCATCTGGTTCCCCGCCCATCTCGGCCAGGTGCCGGGTGCCCTATCCAAACTCAACGAAATCGCCCATGATGCAGCGCGCGCATTTACCGACCGCATCGCCACAGGGGAACTTCATCTTGCGGAGTTAGAGACCAATCGGGATGCACCCATCATGTACAATGACATAACAAAGCACTTTTACCTTGAACACCGCATTTTTCTACCCCCACATCTGAAACTTACCAGACCGCAGGCATTAACCGTACGCCTATTACAGACACACACGTACACAAACCTTGCCATGCTTCACGTTTATTATCGCGATGCATACCCCAGTGACACATGCCCCTGGTGTGGACACACGGCGACACTCGCACACATGCTCTGGGAGTGTAGAAAAACTCGTCCCGACTCTACCTCAAACAAGTGGGAGAGGTCCCTCAGCAGCTCACGTCTGGCCGACCAGCAATATGCCGTCCAGCAGGTCCACGAAGCGGCCGCCAGGTACTCCCTGTCGGTACCTACGTGGGAGACGCCCGCTACGCGCTAAGCGCGTCGTGCAGGACTGAAATAAAGTTTTTTTCATTCCATTCCATTTAATTCCATTCCAAGGAAGACTGCAAAGAGCTCCTTCCGGTCTTCCTTCTCATTTTCCTTCAGCTTGCGTAGGAAGTCGCGTTTTCGAGTTGAACGTGATAGCAACAGCCTGTTCCCAGTGCGTACTTCAAACACTGAGTGAATGAAACCTTTTCGAATGGCGCAGTAGCGTGTGTGCCGTTTATAGTTGGGTACCGGCTTTCAACCACGGAATAATTATGATAATCACATATTCTTACGCCTGCTGGCGATGGACACTTGTACGACGCATTATTACTGCAATCATTCATGTTGTATTGTGAAGCATGTATACAGGACGCGTGTGTTCCTGAAGCACGAAAGCTACTTTCACTGCATCCACAAGCAGAGGAAGTTCTTTACACGGTTTTCACAAGCAGAGGCGTGGCCGTGTGGTAGAACAGCCACTTGCCACGCAAACGACCCGGGTTCGATCCCTGCTCGAACCCCAAAAAGCCTGCTACAGTCCCCACTCGGTTGCAGCGGTTTTTATAATATATTAGGTTATTTGCATGTTTGTCGAAGTTTTGGTCACGCATAGGATGATTGACTTCTCGCTCACAACCAACAACAGAGACGAGCACTTTAACGTTATCGCGTTAACGAAATAGCTCCACTACGCGTACTCCGACGAAACAGTAAAGCTGGTGGCATTCCTTTGTCAGGCTGACTCATTTCTGTGTTTTCCGCGGGTCTAAGATATGTTGCATCACTGCTTTGTTAAGCTTTGAGGAGGCAATATAGCTTGTCGCATTTTGACCGTGTCGCTCTTACACACAGGTTTACCAGGAAGCCTTGGCTTAAAATGCTTTGATATGTAGTACCACTGCTGTTTATTACACTCTTTGATAAGCTTTGATGTATAGTATGACCACCGCTGTGGTATGACCAAGTATAGTACGACCAAGTGCCACGTGGCAGTGGTGCATGGTAACGTGCGAGCCATTTGTTGAGGTAACATTTGCTTTCTTCCCTTCAGCGTAAGCTATGTGGGTAGACTTAACACAATTTATGTGGTACATTGTGTTTATGATGACTGATCGTCTTCTTATAGACTGCACAGATTTTCGTGGCGCATACCTATTTTATGGTCTAACTATTGCCAATGTCTGTGGCGCGCACCCGCTTATGAATATGACCACTAATCACGGACATGAAAGCCGCTATTAAGAACAGCTTCGCTTTTAGAACTCGGAATTACCGAGAGACAGAGACGATAAATCATTGATATAATGAGCAGGTGATATAGCAAACCAGAGCGAGCGAGAGAAAAAAAAAAAGGCGTGGAGTCGATAGAGACTCAGCTTGCTATCCGGCAAGAAAGAAAGCGGTTGCAGGTTTGAAAGAAGACTTGGAGAATGTTTGAGCTCGGGCTTCGAGCGCAGAACGTGACAGCGTAATCGGTCTCGGCGCGCATTGCCTTCAACCGTACCGCAAAGAAAAAGAAAGTTTGTGTGCCTAACAGAGAACGTCTCAAACTATTCTAGAATGCCTGCAGAACGTGGAGTTGCGCAGTGCCCACTATACATCACAATTTTGAAAAATGATGAAATGCCCACTACGAGTTCGCTCAGTGCCTTGTGCACATCTGCCCACTTTTCAATGGTGAGAAGCTTCAAACCTCCCACTCATCACGCACTTCGTATCTTCTGACGCCTGGGGCGACTGTGCGAATCTGCCGCGCAATCTTACTCGCGTTGAGGAAATGTCTCCCAGTACATGGTATGTTTATAGTGTGGCGGGATGGAATCCCGGCTGGCTGTGGCGGCTGCATGTCCGATGGAGGCGGAAATGTTGTAGGCCCGTGTGCTCAGATTTGGGTGCACGTTAAAGAACCCCAGGTGGTCAAAATTTCCGGAGCCCTCCACTACGGCGTCTCTCATAATCAAACGGTGGTTTTGGGATGTTAAACCCCACAAATCAATCAATGGAATCCCGGCTGCGGCGGCTGCATTTCCGGTGGAGGCGGAAATGTTGTAGGCCCGTGTGCTCATATTCGGGTGCACGTAAAAGAACCCCAGGAGGTCGAAATTTCCAGAGCCCTCCACTGCGGCGTCTCTCATAATCATATGGTGGTTTTGGGACGTTACACCCCACATATCAATCAATCAATCATTTTTATAGTTTTTTTTTTACAAAACAGTCTTCATCACTAACTTGGCTTCACTGAAGAACGTTGGCTTGTGACCACCGGTGCCAACGCCGAAATTTGTGCGAAAGCAACTCGTTAATGATGTCGTGATAAAAAGATAAATAAAGAAATAAAAAATAATGAATTTATTGGTTGAACAAATCAAGTTGTTTGTGAAGACATGCACCATTTCTCGTGTCTTCATACGCACCTTTTCAAGTAATCTGCCAATGTGTTAAATAGTGCTGATTTTCATGCATCAATCATGTTAGGGTGATCTGCAGTTCAGTGACATCGTTACAAAAAGGCACAGACTGTCATGCTTTGTTATATTTTACTTGTAAACAGGAGATATGGTAACCATGGCATTAACTTGAATAATGCAGAATAATTGGCAAAGAGAGAGTGAGAATTCATTAGAAGGCACAAAGGTTGGTCTGAGCTAGAGCGCTCTAGCCTGCTACTCTAGATAAGGGACAAGAGGAGGGGGATAGGCGTACCAGTTGGTTCAGTTTATTAAGTGCGCTTGTACAGCCCTGCAAAGAGAAGACAAAAAAAAAAGATGAGGATGACGATGATGATTTTTTGTAACTGCTGGCACGAACACTATTGCCTGTACTACGAACTGGGCAGTATAAAAAAAAAAGACGTAATAACGTTAGAAATGAAACCTAAAAATAAATGTGTAGAGATGAATAAAAACGTAGCTGTAAGAAATTGAAGCATGGGTGAGTCTGGAGCCACCGCTTGCCTTCCGACTCATTACAAAAGGGACAGCCATATTTCTTCATCGTCATTAGCTACAGCATCAACAATGAGCACATGATGCCTTGCTGGTGTGTCGCAGGTACCATACTTGACTTAGAATGACGAATAATGGCATATTGTATACTTCTCTAATTCACAAGAAATATTACACTTTATCACAAGTGGACTTGTTTTAGTTGCCAAGGAAGCCCATAAGGCCCCCTTTACCCGCTTCCTCGGGACCTGAATAAAGTTCTTTCTTGTTGTGACTCTCGGATGTTGACGACGTGCTGTCGATGAGAAGCATAGCGGGGGTGCATTCCAACGCCTCGAAACCCCTGTGCCTTTCTCTGAAATGAGCGTCCAGCAGCGGCAAGCGCCACGAAGGGATAACAATGTGGTAACTTCTACGGACTGTGAGCCAACGCCCACGTTGACGTTTCCTCCAAAATGGCTGGTTTGGGTAGGTTGCGCGGCCGACCGACCTCGCAAGTCGTAACAAAAGTGACTAAGTCGCTAATCCACTGCTGCCCTTCTCGTGAGAAATGGCAGTAAGCTACCCCGTTATGGATCACTGCTCTCTTGAGTAATCTGACCGGTGAAACATTGCGTCAATGAGTGCAATGACTAGTGGGAGACCGTGTGTCATTGGCTGGTGGGTAGTGTCGTGTGTGTAATTGGTTTTCAATGATAAAAGAACAGCCCGACCAAGAGCTTAAAACGACGCTGCAAAGTGCAAGAAGTTGCTCTGAACCTTGGTTCATCATTTTATCTACCTTACTCGTGAGTGTTGTCAAAAATTGTAAAATTTTACAATTTGTAATTGTAAAGCATTTGTAAACATTTTACATTTTGTAATTGTAAAACCTTCTTATGTTGTAAATAATTGTACATAGTGCCAGTAAATCTGCTCGTTTTCGTTTTCCCCCACTTGTCACTATCGTTACCTCTACCCGGAGTCGCTCTATGCTACCACAGGATTCTCGGTCTGGCGCAACCCTGATTTCTCGGCGATTCACGTCAGCGGGGACGCATCGGTGGATCCGGGTCCGCAACACTCTTTCTTGCTGATGCATACAAAGTAGCATGGCAGGAGAGTAAGTGAACGACTACACGCCACATAATGCAAATCACGTGACTAGTGGGCTTAATTGATTAAAGCTTTCAACCCATGACAAATGGCTCAGCCACAACTGTTCCTTATCATCCGCCACAGAATCAACAAAGTGTACATAATAATTTGCAGATGTATAGAGGGTACCAGGCATCACTGCAGAATCGCAAACACATTTCATCGCGTTATGGATACGTTGCAGGTATACTTCTATTATTGGCCGCAAAAGTGTTTACAAGTGCTCTAGAAATGCCGCTCATACACTTTCCGTGCAGGTCTGGTGCTTTTCACATGGCTACTGTTCAACTGTTTTCATGGTGACTGGAAATTGCAATGACTGAAAAAGAAGAGCTATTTCACAAGGATCGGCAACGCCTTTTTAATTCTTTTATTTCTTCTCAAGAAATCCGCAATACATGACGAGAGAACGCTGCCGATCGATTGTAGAGGCTCCCGAGAACACCCGAGCCAAATATTATAGCGCAGCACGTCGGCCTGATATAGACAATAAGTTCTCAAAGTCAGCTAAAAATTGCTTTCTCTTCTCCCACCAAATTACGGAAGACGCCCAGAAATCACTGGTCACAGCAATTTGATCAGCCATTAGTTGGTTTGAGTATGGCACGCTCGGTCGTGCTGTCTTCTCGTGC